TAAGAGACTGCTAGTCCCAAGACAAAAGTTGTATTGGGGTAACCACCGTTCAGAAATATGTTCAAAACTAGTAACTGTATTACAGTTTCACCGGCCTGCCCAATATATATTATCTGGAGCCTATGCTTGGGAGAAAATACTTGGGACACATCAGGAATCACCAGGAATAGTTACGTCCACTGTCCACAACTATGTCACCTCCATTGTCAGTAGTTTGTTAGCTTGTTTTATACAGCTTCTTATTTGGTACAATAACAAATCCCATGTAAACAGATTTCACAAAACAGGTCTGTTTAAGATGAAATGGTTTGTTTGTTTGGCTTTATAGTAAGCCAGGAAGTGAATGGAAGATGTGGAAATTTGCAATCAAAATCCCAACTCATAAAAACCCAATGGGTGTTGACCATAAACAACACATGTATACACAGATGCCAAAGAATACATGAGTTTAAGTACTTAGCTCTGCTTTCCTTTTACTTAAACTACCTCCTGTATGTAGACTCATCTTTAGATAATTTTAGTATTTATTAAGCCTCATTCACAAGTTTTTGGTTGGATCATTAAAAACACACAAATGCACAGATACACATGTACACACACATACACAAATATGCTCACATACATACACACCAGTTTTCTAAACTTTCAAAAAAACTTAAAATTTTAAGAGACCAGTTGCTAAAGTAACTGTCATGTTCACATAGAATGTCAAACTTGAGCGACTAAATAGTCCTGTTTCAAATTATTTTTTTTTCTGGAAATCTGAGGATTATAGGATGTAGCAGAGAAATGTTATACGAACTGCCCAGTTGTTCTGACATTCGTTGTTTTAATATGATCTTTTTTTCTTCCTTTTTTTTAGAACTAGTTCAAATTTTCTGATATACTAGCCAGAAAACTGACAGTAACAGACCACAACTAGCTGTAGCCATTGAAAAGATAATGATTGCAGGGCTAGGGAGATGGCTCAGCCACTAAAAGCACTTGCTATATAAACCAGGTGATCAGAATCCCCAGAACCCACACAATTTGTATGCAGCGATGGGAGTGCCTGTAATTCTTGAGTCCTATGGTAGACAGAGACAGAGGAATCTCCAGAAGCTACCAGGTCAGCTAGTGTAGTTAAGCACTGCAAAGGGACTGTGTTTCAAAGTAGAAAAGCCAGGACTATCACCCTGCGTATATTAGCACATGTGCCCTTATCTATACCACACACACACACACACACACACACACACACACAAAACTTCAAAAGAGTTTCTAGAGAACATGCAGTAAGAGGTGTAGAGTCCACATATCCATCTGTACACTGGGATTACAAGCTCCAAGCACTGGATTTGAGCCTGTAAAACCTATGGACATTCCTATATAATAAAAGAACACCCTTTCCCCTTTGTTTTCCCTACTGCAGCTGTATCAGGATGGCCAGAGGGCTCATTGAAATACACATGAGCTCTGATGCTATCTCTACACAGTAGGTTTGTAACCTATCTACCCAGGCATCTTCACCAGCTTCTGAGTGCTGTAAGCAGTTGTGGGGTGGGAATACACCACTGTTTTCCTGGTTGGTGCTTTTGGGTTCTCTTGATTCTACATCTCTTTTGGAAATTATTTAAGTGGCATACCGGTTTGTACTCATTTGAAGGAGCCCCACTGAAACTGTTTAGGAGAGTAAATATTACCCATATCACATTGATTAGAGGTTCATAAAGAAGCTAATTAAGATTTTTAGAAGAAAATTTAAAGGAGAAAATAAATTTGAATGTTTCTAGGAAAGACAACATCCATGACTATCTGTATATGAACTCTACTATCCGTATCAGAGTAAAAATTGGACATTAACGATGTCCTGTTAAATAGATTGTGTGAAAAGTGTACCTTGTCAGAATCAATTCCTACTAGACAGTTCTCTTCAGCCCTGAAATTCAGGGACATCCAACACTGCTGGCTGGGGAGGGGGGCTTCCTCTAGAAACTTTGTATTCTGAGAGCATAAGTGTCTTGGCTCCTGGTTTCTCCATGAGTTCAGCAGTAAAGCAAAGCTCTGTACAAACTTGATTTCTCCAGCCACCGGCTGCTCCTCCACAGAAACAGCAAATGCCTTCTCTGGAGGCCTGCAGCCTCTGCATGAGTCAAGGAGGAGGAGTCACTTCAGTTGAAGATGGCCAAGAACACGGCTAGCTTTTCAAATGTTCATATTGACAAGTCTCTACTGTTTAAAAAAACATTTGCATGGAGATGTTAATGTATGAGCATAATATGTGCACACATTCATGTTTACTGTGCACCTACATACCTCCTCTCTCTCTCTTTCTCTCTCTCTCTCTCTCTCTCTCTCTCTCTCTCTCTGTGTGTGTGCATGTGCATGCACGTGTGCACGTGAAAGCCTCAAGTTGACATAAGGTGTCTTCCTTGACCATTGTCTGTCTTAACTATTGAAGCAAGGTCTTTCCCCAAACCTGAGCTCATCCATTTGACTTGGGTGTCTAGCTAACCTTCCCCAGAGGTCCCTTCTCTCTGCCTCCTGAGCATAGAGATGACAGGCAGACAGCCACTTTGCTTTAGTCATCTCCCCAGCTCAAGCATGTATCTCAAGTTCAGAGCCAACAATACTGCCCCTCTTAATGATGTGCTCCACTCTACTATTTTCTTTTCCTAAAAATACACCACTTCAGTTGATTCCCATAAGCATGTAAAGATGCGAACAATCCCATTTCACATATGGAGAATTTATAGGCAAATTATTTATTGAAAACTGTAATTTGTAAGCACTCAAGTCTAACCTATTTCCTGACCTCAAAGTCAAATGTTTTTCTATCCTGTTTTGACTTATTTCTAATTTTTATTGTGTTAGGAGCAGGTTGGATACATTCACATATGTAGAAGCACATGTCAGAAATAAACTATTATAATTTTAAATGAAAAGGCTTTTTTATTCTTTTAGAACTTAATACATACAATGTATTTTGGTAACATTCCACTTCCCCTCAACTCCTCTCAAATCCCAAACCCCGCCAGATTGCATTTCTACAAATTATCTACTCCAGCCCACATACTCATGGGTGTTGGGTTGGGGCAACCACTGGATCAGAATCAACCTACCAGACACCACACTCTTAAAAAACAAAACACTCTCCCCAGCAGCCATCAACTGTTTAAAATTGCTCCATCAGTGGAACCATGCCTTCCTCATTGCACAGAAACCCTGACCTTTTCTGACCAGAATAAGAGCAGGGAGTTCAATCCCCCCTGCACAAGGCAACCAGCACAGAGGGCGTGCATATCACAGCACACATGGGCCAGTGACACTCCTGACAGTCTGTAGTCGTTTTAGGGCGATAGTGCCAGCTTGAAGGGATCATGTAGGCCTGAAGTTACCAAGTTAGTGTTCTTACTGAAAGAATACCTGAAAACAAGATAGCAAAAGTAATGTATTTTGTGTTGAGCTATTTTTGTAGAGTACACACTGATGCACAACTGGTTTTTGTTTAGTTTGGTTTCTTATGCTGTTAGTATTGAGTGCAATATTCCACTTTCAAGATCTGGATATACATTGTAACATGTGTTATATTTGCCTTGATTCTATAAAAGGAACAATGATTGATGAAATACAAGCAACTCAGGAAAAACCTCTGTGAGGAATAAATAAGCCAAAAGACACAAAAGCAGTAACTGCCATCTCTGGCATTTTAAAAATGTGCTCTTCCCTTTTCTTAATTCCTTTTTCTGTAACAACAGCCGAGTAGGGAAGATGTGAGCAGCCCTGGCTCTAAGCATGTGTGTGAATCAAATCATCGAACCTGTGCAACTCCCACAAGGTAGACCCTCTCAATAGCACTGTTCTGCAGAGAAGCAAAGGAAACTCGGGATTCCTCGCTTATCCAGACATGCACTGTGGCAGAAGTGGAGTTGTGAATTAGACCAGGGAACTGTAGGCCAGTATTATCCAGATTTTTAATTGCTGTGAGGCATGCCCCTTGTCCCATGGCACAAAACCTGTCTTGAGAAAGTTCTTCATTAGCTCTTTTTCTGCTGCTCTATGGAAGAGCTCGTAGTACTGAAAAGACACCATATTTTTATTGATGTTCTATAATTGGGGGCTTAGAAGCTTTATCTTCTTATGTCTTGTGTGCCCTGTATGTGTGTGTGTGTGCACGCGCACGTGCACATGACATGCTCACACATAGGCACATGCATCTTTGTTCCATTTCTTCAACTATTCCATGATACTCATAATTAGCTATGATAACAGGAGCTGTTTATCAAGTGCTTATGATGTGCTGGGCACTTGGCAGAGCAGCAACCTCAGAATTTTACTCACGGACACCCACCATAAGGACTGCACAAGACCATTATGAACTGAGGAAGGCGTAGTCCACAGACACAAGGAGTAATACAAGACAGTGCCTGTTGGGTAATTCTCCACCCTCTCTACCCACATCATACAGGCAGGGTACTCCCAATGAGAGAGAGGAGAGCACTTGCGATTGATTTTTTTTTTTAAAGCAGACTTGAATGTGAGAAGGGTATGTATATATTGTGAAGCTGAAAAAGGCTTTCTGGATAGTCACTGTTGCCAAGTGACAGTGATTTCTACATTTCGCAAAGCATTCACACCATTACTAGGGTGCACATTTCCCTTCCCTGTGTCCTAACCAGCCAGGGACATCAGCCTGGAATAGGAAATGAAGATGGTCAAGAAATACCAGGTCAGCCAGCAAGCAGGCCAGTGTTTATGATACAATTTAATCCTCCCTGCCTGCACCTTCTCTTTATTACCATGTGAAATATGTGTCATTATAATAGCCATTAAGGTAGAAAAGACTGATTGGAACTATAATTATCTGATAAGACTGCCACACTGTCTACCCTAAGTTAGTACAAATTCCTGTGCTTCCATTGAAACTGCTGGATAAAATAAGCGAATGATGAGGTAAGAAAGAACCTTCCAGATCCTGCTTTACTGCACATCTCCTGAATACAAAGGATCATTAGATAGAGTCATGGTGTGCTTTAATTTTTTTATTAGTAAGATTCCTGAGTACAAATAAATTTAACTTGACATTTAGAAAAACTGATTTGCTCTCTAAATTCTATACATTTTAATATCCAATTTTAATACTAAACATCACGCTTTTAAGCTTTTAACTTAATTTTTTTTTAATTTTAGTAATTCCTTACTCATTGAGTTAAACAAATTTTCATGTAGAAAAAGGCATAAATCTAATTAATGCAATGAATAAATTTTTCTGGCAAAGATTTTTAAAAACCTTAGAATACTTCTTTCAGTAGAAAATTTACAGCCATGAACAAAATTAACATTACATAATGTTTTATCAAGAACTGTATCACAAATAACATGTTTACTTATATTACAATGATTTGCAATATAGTAAATGCTAATTTACAGGAGATCTAAAATCCTCTTTGAGGAAAGTTTTAATTATTATTTAGCACTTTAAGGAGATTCTGTTCCCAATAAATGACAAGCAGCTGATCTAGGAGGCGACAGACTGTGCAGCTGTGATGGGGAGATCTAACCAGGTAAAGTCTTATCAAATATCAAGCAGCATTCCCAAGTCAACATTTAGAAAAACCCCAGATTCCGTGGGAATTCCTGCCCCCAGTCAGCATGAATGCCTAGCCCAGCATAAGACCCACACTGTGAACAACAGGTTACAATGCTTGGTCACTCCACTACACACAGCGTTTCTCCTCAGCTCATCTGTCACTCCAGCAGACCAGGCCTGCTCAGCACCTGCCTCTGCATCTGCCTTGAACTAAGTAGAAAGAAGCTGGGCTTTTCTACAGAAAACTATTGAGTTTCCTTGGCATGGTAGGTGCCCCAATTCTAATCCATGGTTACTTCCGCATCCATCCTGTAAGCCTAAGAGTAAGTATTACACTTATGTCTCCTGGGTATGAGCACAAGTTCAAATCTTAAGATTATGTATTAAAATTTTCCAAAACTAGGACTCTGGAAACATAATTGAGTTGAAAATCACTCTGTGTTGAGCTGTCGTTTCTTCTGCTTCCTGTATTGGTAGGGAATCTTCCGCCAGAATACAGAGTGTACAGGAATGGAGGAATGACTCTGTGCCCAAGCCTCCTACAGCCACACAGATGGTACCATCTAAAGCAAAAATGTCTTCCAGTGCCCCCTATGTGCTCACACAGCAGCAGGGAGTGCTTTCAGGACTCTAACTGAGGAGGACGCACTCCTCAGAGGTAATGCCCCAGTGCACACCTTAGTAAATACCCCAAATACCTGTGTGTGTGTGTGTGGGGGGGTATTTCCAGAGGTAGTCTCAATGTTGTTGCCACCACCACTCACTCAGGAGTACATTGGCTTTGTCACCTCAGACAAGGGCACAGCTCCTAAGTCCCAGTGCTCAACACTATCTGAAGTCTTCACTGGAGACCCTTAATTCCCGTTTAACCATCAGAAGAAAGACAATACTTAGGCTCAGTGAGATTTGACCAAAATAAACAGAGATAAAAGTAGGAAGTGTGAGAGACTCCAGTGAAGTAAAACTTCCCACACGGCCAGCCAGCTCAGTGAGACCAGCTATAAAAACAGAAAAAGTAAGCAACAACTCTCCTCTTGGTTCATTTCAAAACAAAAGAAAAGAGCATTCTTAGCAACGTGGCTATGTGGTATGGCGCTATTTGTTTAATTGTGCCATATTTAGCTGCTAAAAATTACTCCCTAATAAGGCTATTTTACCATTAAAAACTTAAATTTTTATGATAAAATACTGTATTAAAATACTTTAATATTTACAATTGAAATATATATATAAATATATACACTGTGTGTGCTCCAGTCAGTCATCTGAGTGTAACCTCTTCAATGTCCTCATCCACAGAGTCAACAGCTGTCACCGTTGGCTTATTGCTGGTATGCTTCAGCCGCTGTCTGTTGGGATTAAAACTTCTTCCTTCACTGAGGAAGAAGTCTTCATCTTCATCAGGCTCCCGAACTCTGCTGCTTTTATCTCCAGAGGGGAAATTAAGAGGGAAGTCTCCTCTGCCGGCAGTCAGAAAATGTGGGTCACTGCTCTTGGAGGAAACGGTGGTACTGCTGGCACTGTTGCCAAACAGCTCCTCCATCAGGCTCGCTTTTTTCTCTTTTCTCGAAATTAAATCTGCACTGTCCTTACTCAGGCTTTCCAAACTGCTGTTGGGAAAATCTAAAAGGCTACTTTTTTGGCTAAGTGGGTTTGACTTCCCTGACATTTTTGCAAATGAAGGCACATAGCTACCAAATGAAAAGTCATCTGGAGGGGCAGGACTCCGAATGGGTCCTGGACTTCGGCCTTCTCCTCTGGCAGTTAAAAAGCTCACGTCTGACAATTGATGCCCACTGAAGGATCTGTCTGAAGACTCAGAGTGTGTGTATGGCTTGGGGCTTCTGTCTGGAGAATGCAGCTTTGATTCAAAGTTGGGAAGCAATGGCAAAGGGGGCCGATTGAGGTTCTGAGGGTCTTGGAGTTCTCTGTTGATTTCATTCAGTTTGGCGAGAAGCATTTCTGTCTTGAGTCTTTCTGCCTCGTCTTCCAGCTTGTCAGCATTCTGAGTTTGATATGTTTGCACATGGAACCTTCCAGCTTCCGATGCTGGCTTCTCTGCTCTTGAGAGCAGAGACGCCTTACCTTTGACCTTATCAGGGTCTTCTGTTTCCCACTCTGTAGAAAATGAAATTTAACAAGAGTTAAATAGGAAAATTTAGCTATCATCTTTTGCAAAAAAAGTCTTTTAATCTCCATTTGACATTCTAAGATAGGCAAATGGACATCATGATAGTTTGTTTCTACATTTGAAATTCTGGATTAGAAAGTAATTAACGTGGATTGCACTTAAGAGCCCACACATCACACACTGCTCCTCAGTGAAGCAGCAGGAAGGTTCTCCATGCAGTACTGTACAATTCATGGTGGGCGGTGAGACAGAAAGAACGGGGACCTTAAACATAAAGTGTTGACTGTCCTGAGAAAGCATCCCCCACACAGCAAATGCACTGACTCAAATCAAGAGGAAAATTTCAGTTAATTCTCAAATGAAGAACATTCTATTTTTTTTTAAGGTATATACTTATCAAAAATATTAATTGCATAGAGTAAAAAAAATAAGCAAAAATACTTCATAGTAAAAATGACCCTAGAAGTGAGAATTAAACACAATTTATGATTATGTTCTGAGAGAAGAAAATGCTTCAAGGAACAATCTTGTGTTTACCAACAAAAATCACAATATGGACAACAGCCGATCTAAATGTGTTAGCATGAGAGCTCCCAAAGTGTGGAACCCTGATAGAGAGCTGTGAGGGAAGGCCTCTGCTTGGAGGAAACACATGCCGAGTTCTTAAGGGTACAGATATGAGGTGCAGAATTCATTCAAATGGTTTGGTTTGTTTTGGCCATCCTTGGAAGTTTCCTATAGTTTTGAAATCATTTTCAAGTAAAAGAATTAAAAATATTAAAATATCATAATTTCAGTAAATGGCATATATTCTGATATCACCCACATATTTAAGGAGACAGCCTATGAGACAAGCCATGGTCTTCTGTTATTTTATTTCTCCTTTTGCTCCCTAAGATGGGCTGACCATAACAATTTCCCATTCTGTGGCTTAACACATGAAAGCATCCTGCTCCGCCTCTGGCCAAAAGTGATACAAATAGCATTTCACATTCAATAAGTACGTTAACATCCCCATTCAATATGCATGTTAACAACTTCAAGCAACAACTGGATCACAAATTTCTGTTCCATGAATTTCAGCTTAAAACAAACAAACTCAAAAGGTTTCACTGGACACAGCTACAATGGAACTAATGAGTTGCAGAAGTTAGTATGGGATGTCCTATAGCACATTCTATACAGATGGAAATGAACTTCGCCTACATCATCTAAACTATGCAAACTGTTTCTCCCAATTTATAAACAATGTTATTAAAGGCTTACAAAATAAAGTAAAGCAAAAATACTCAGGGCCTTGTAGATCACTGACTTTTCTGTTTCAGCCACTCCATGACCCAGAGATCAAGGCCAGTAGAGTAAAGGGCTCTCTTGATTAACTCTTCATTTAGTAACACGAATAGTTTCCCTCTTTGATTAAACATTGTTTCATCTAAATTCTCTGGAGTTCATTTATTCCTTATTCCCAAGCCCCAGCAGCAACTTTCCATCTTCCTTTTATTTGGTAACTTCATTCAATTGTTCTGAGTCCTCTGGTTCCCACCCTCTGCTGCTTCCACCACACCTTCACCCCTGCAACCACGTACAGCTCACTAACTGCTTACACAAACCCTTACCCCTCTCAGGCTTCCCCGCTTCCTGTCTGCCAGAGCAGCCTTCCTGATCTTCACTGCTCTTCTCTTCTTTTTCCAAAGCTTGATTTAGAATCTCTGTTCCACGCTCGTTTTGCTCTTGGTATTCCAGGTACTATTATTTCAAAAATACAAATTCATACAGAAAGAAAGGGGAAAACAGTCTTTAGGCATGGTGGATCAGCCATTATGAGTAACTACCAAGTTAGAAACTAAATCAGATCTTTACTTAATAAGACAAGTTGCTATGTTTTGAATGATGCTGCAAAAAGGATAATGCCTTAATTGAGCTACATTTTTAAAGACAGTTATAAGATATATCAGAACCAACCAATACAATGAAAATAGAACCAACAACCTATATAAAATTATGATGAGATAAGCTGTAAAAGTAGCTTTGCTTTGGTTTGTGTACTTTTATAACACAATCTAATTGACTCACCTAACCAGAAATGGCTATTAGCCAAATATAGTAGCCAACTAAGGTAGTGCTGAGTTGCAGAGCACAGGCATTGACAGGCAACACTGAGTCTTTCAAATATACATTATGTCTAAACCTCTAATTAATAATTATGTAGAATTCAAATAGAATAATGTTATAAACTTATCTGCTAACCCCCAAGATAGTCAATCTTCATTGTCAGCTTAGAATCAGTTGTCTAAGGAGATACACATCTGAGTGTATTCCTAAGATATGAGGAGGGGCTGGAGAGATAGCTCAGTAGTTAAGGGCAATGACTGCTCTTCAGGGGTCCTGAGTTCAATTCCCAGCAATCACATGGTGGCTCACAACCATCTGTAATGGTATCTGAGTACTCATGTACATAAAATAAATAAATAAATCTTAAAAGAAAAATGAAAACTGAGGAGGAAGGCCCACAATAAATTATGTGTGGACCTACTCTATTGGCTGGGGATTGAAAGGGAAAAAGGAAAGAGCCGGTTTTGTGGCCACATTCATCTCTGCTTCCTGACTGGATGTAATATGACCAGCTATCTCACACTCCCCAAAGTGGATGACACCCTCTCAAACCAAGAGCCAGAAGGAGCATTTTCTTTGTTGGGCTGCATCTTATGAGATATTTGGTCACAGAAATAAGAAAGGTAACTAGCACACTTCTCCAGAGGACACAGGACCAGTGAGGGGTGGGGCATATGTGTGGAACTTCTGACCACATTTATGAAAACAGATTTCTTAATCATCGTGTTAAACTCACCGAAGAAAGATAGTCTGGTTCATCCCATTTGTTTTCATAACACAGAACTGTCTGTGGTGTACCGGGAAATTCTTCAAGCTCAAAGTCTTCAATGGTCTGTACTCCTTTCGTACACAGGTCTGTAAAGTCACTCTGGCATGATACTACCAAGAAAACCATAAAAAAGTTTTCTAACCCCACTGAACAATGTCAACATATATTCAATTGGCAAGATTAGTCTAGATGAGAGTGCAGACTTTCTTCATGAAGGATTAACTAGCAATTAGGTGGTTTGAGGACAACTATACTACACATGCTAATATCTTTCCCAAAGTTAATGCTTTAAAATTTCTGTAATTCATAGGAGAGTTATAATTCTGTTCAAGAAAAGTAAAACTGCACAGTAATGCAGAGTATAAGTGAAGTGATATGATATCTGGGATTCACTGTGAAATACGCTAGAAAGTAGAAGGAATGGATGAGACAGCATCAATGAAGGATTAAATTGTTAAAGCTAGGTATTTAATACTTGTGAATAATGACATATTTTATGTCATCAAAATTACAAGAAGGTTTTCAACATTTATTAAAATTAAGTTTATTTAATGATAACATAAAAGCTGTATACTAACAACATTTTGGAATGCTTCAACACAGGAACATATAGATTTTTTTTCAAAGGTTGTATAAAACATATATTTTTTAATTTTGTAAATTCTATTTTTCTATTTATGTGCAAGAGTTGTCTCTGTACATGATATATGCCACGTATGTGATGTGTGTGTGCTCAAGAAGCCCAGAAGAGGACATCATATTTCTTGGTGCTGGAGTTGCATGCAAGTCACTGCGAGCTGAAGATCAGTAACCTCTCTTACCCTGCTGCCCATCTCTCCATTCCCCCAGAACCCGATTTTAACAAGCTCGCTTTAGAAACACAAAAGTTGAAAGACTATGGTTATTATCAACGCTGACTTGTAAAACTGAGATCACATATACTCAAGGGCTCTTCCCTCACTTTCTTTACTTTAGAGTCCATCATCACTAACAGCTCCAATTTCAGCAGTAACCCTACTATACCATTTTTTCTTGCAATAATCTCTTTGTCTTTCTTTGGAGAGGACTTCGGCAGACGATTAGCATATATGTTTTTTATATCCAACTCTCTTTCCTTTTCCTGAAAACAAACCCAATACAAGAAAGGAAGATAGTTAGTTTCAAATTAAACAAATACCTTCAGTGTGATAACCAATACCTTCTTTATTGAACTGAAATATCTCCGGGTCAGCTCTCTACGGTAACTATCAAACTAGAGGAAAAGATATCTCCTAGGAGGAGTGGGAGGGAAGGGGAAAGGAAGAGGGTGAATACAGAGTGGAAGGGTAAAAGGGGGAAAAGGGGTGGGGAATAGGGAGAAGGAAGCAAATACCACAACATCCACCTCCTCCCCACAGATCTGGTAATGCCTATCTGTGATCTAGGCTTGGCCCCAGGGACAAGAACAGAACCTTTCTTATGTATGTATTATGTATGTGACAAAAATTAGACTGTGTTGTTCAACACAAGAGATCTTCACAATATAACCTTTTTATGAGAACCTGAGCATCAAAGAGAAAACTATATAAGGCTATGCATAATTTTGTGGACTTCTGAATACAATTTCAACCCATGAATGACTTCCATAAAATGAAGACATGTTCAATGTGAATTGGTCTCCTTGAAACAAAAGCAAGCATCCTGGGATCATATGAAGAATACTGATCATTCAGGAGTGTGACCCACATGCTCATTTCCATGGTTCTCTTCCAGAATATGAATAGTGACCGCTTTAAAAAAAAAAAATACTAGGCAATGTATGTGACAGGAGAAACAGTGTGGTCTAAAAGCGCATGCTTACCTTTAGCTTGTGATAGAGCCGCTGCAGCTCCTTTTGAAGAAGTTTATTTTCATCGTAAGCTTCAAACGCCCTTTTCCTTTCAGCGAGCAACTGCCGCTGGAAACTGTTGGTACTCAGCTCGAGGTTTTTGGATAGCTCCTTTGTGTAACAACAACAACACCAATAGTCAAACGCAGAACTTGGAAGTGCAGGGCTACATCTTGGTAGCACTGACCAGACTTAAAAACCAGGCTCAGTTTAGTGTTCATGTGCATATCATAAGCCAGGCAGCAGGCTCCCTGTTAGTAAGATCCTAGCTCCATGATTCCACCCTTACTTTTCCTGATGATGGATAGTCAATCCTCACACATTTGCCTACAGCTCACTGTCACTTGAGGGACCAAAACATAGAACGGTAAGAGAGGAGCTTCCAGAAATCCGTGCTTGGAAGTAAACACCAAGGTAGCTAAAAGCAAACAGCACAGGTGCAATGTGTGCACTGGGATACCCTCTCAGGAAACTGGGGGCTGTTCCTGTGGCCTCTGAACACGTATCATCGAGGTTAGGGAGAATTTAAATTAGAATACCTTTCTTTTCAAATAAGTAGTCATTTGCCTACCTTCCAGGCAAAATAGTCTTCTAAACAAAACATGAGATCATATATAAAAAAGGAAAACATATGGTAGTTATAATCACTTCTCAGTAATCATCACTGTCAGCATCTCAGTGTACAACTCGAGACTTCTCTGTGCTTCCCCTCACTATCATAAAAACCTGAAAGCAGCAGACTTCTGTCCCGCAATCCTTTAAAATGGAATCATTTAAAGGAGAGCAGCATAATTTATGTAAGCAGATTCTGCTGCCCCAGTTTTCCTGTGCTTCCACTTTTTCCCAGGGTGAATACTCCAGAATAAATAACTTCAAACATAAACTGATTATTTCCCCAGGGCAATGCTAGGAAATGAAGCTTCTTGGATCTTACTGAAATTAAGAACACCTGTCTTCGAAAGAAACAAAGTGAATTAAAAAAAAAAAAAAAGGAAAAAAAAAAAAACATTTTTGAGGGAAATAACTTTTCTGATTTATATCACTTATCAACACACATACATGCATGATATATAGAGAATAGTCACAAAAGTCAAAGAAACGAAACATCTCAGTAAAAAGTAGAAGAAATATTTGAACAAGTGATTTACCAAAGACAGAGACAAATAAGTGCCAAGCATGAGGCTCCAGTATCCTTCCTTGTGAAGAAAATACAAACTGATGCCACAATGAAGTAAGACTATCTATCTGTTTGGATGTCTAAAACTAGGAAATCTAATCCACAATGGTTCTTGGGGATGGACAGGTGTCCATGCACTCTGAGTGGGATATAACATGTAATGTAGCCACAGTTTTCAGGGCAAGCCAACTAGCCTGGCTTGGTGACCTTCCTCAATAGTTAATGGTGAAAAGCAGAGAAAACCAATTTACTCAGCATGACCACACCAATAGGGACAGACATCACCAGCCCCCAGAAAGATCTTAAGAAGGAAATGTTATCAATATTGCTATTCAATGTTGCACCAACAGTGGATACACTTAGTTTAGTAACACTGATGCATCAGGGGTCACTCTTATGTGCAAAGTTAAGGATGCTCTAACCTGAACCTAGTGGTGGGCTTCTGTAATCATAGATATGGGAAGGCTGAGGCAGTAGGAGCCTGAATGGAAGCCAGCCTGGATTACATAGTAAGATTCTCCTCCTCCCAAAAAAAATCCAAATCATAACATAGTACTAAGTTAAAATGTTCTATATAAAAGACTAGTGACCTACACAGGTCAGCACCATATTTCCTGAAGATTGGATCCTGTATTTCAGAAGGAAAGTACTATAAAAGACATTGTGTCAACAAGAAAAAGAAAACTACTAGGGTCGGTTGTAAGGAGTACGGTTTTTCCGCCTGCCGCCGCTGGTCTTGTCCCACCGCCGCGCCAGCCCCAAATAACGCACAGAGACTCTGTATTTGATACAATGCTATAGGCCAGGTACAAGTATTAACCCATTTCTGCTGATCTATGTATTTCTCTCACCGGGGAGCCGGCCGGCATACTGCTTTCTCCAGACTCTCCATCTTGACTCTCCTTCTTACTTCCTATTTCCTCCTTGTCTCCAGTCCCTCCTATCTTCCTTTCCTATTGGCCAACAGTGCTTTATTCATTAACCAGTATGAGAAACATATTTACAGAATCGTATCTCCCATCAGTCGGTGGACAAAAAGAAATCACTATATACATGTAAATCACAATACTGGTATATTGAGGATCAATGGGCATGATATATGTAACTTCCCCTCAGAAAGTTAATCTGTGTGTCTGCATACAACAGAGAAAGAACATGGGATTCCATGACTGCATAATATAAGTCAAACATGTTAATGTTTACAATAGGTGAGTAAACTATTTAGTTCAGTATTCATTGTAGCATTTTAGATGCACAACTCTATGTAAGCTTGAAATATTTCTACAAAACAGGTAGTAAGAAAACTGTGCCTGTAAATATAGTGAGGCAAATTAGGAAGTAGTCATTAAACCAAAGAGTTCCTGAGGAACCATCATTGATTTCCAGAATGGCCACACAAGTTTGCACTCCCACCAGCAGTGGAGGGTGTTCCCCTTTCTCCACATCCTCTCCAGCATAAACTGCCATTGGTGTTTTTTTATCTTAGCCATTCTGACAGGTGCAAGATGATATCTCAGACCAAAGCTACCCTTTAATACAACAGAGATGTTTTCCAGGATAAGTCCAAACTAAAGCAACTCATGGCTGCTAAACTAGCACTACAGAAGGTATTTAATAACAGGAATAGAAAAATAAGGAAAGAATCAAGCATATTTAACTCAGTATTTGGCAAATTCCTAAAATAAATAAGGAAGAGAGAAAAGAACAAAAAGTATACAAATAAACCAAGAAAAAAATTCAATAAAATTATAGTAGCATAACTCTCAATATTGACCCTGAACCTAAATAAGTGGTTGTTTGTGGTGATGTATTACTTATGATTTATTAAAGCTTGTCTGAGGATTCAGAAAGAAAAGTCAATCACCCCAGCCTTTAATCCCAGAAGCTGGAATCTAGGAGGTGGTGGTATACACCTTTAATCCTAGGATTCAGGACTAAGAAGTAGACAGATCTCTGAGTCTAAGGACACCCAGACTGATCCAGTTCTAAAGAGAAACAGCTCACACAAAGATGATCTCAACACCTGGGATCACATGCCTTTAATTCCAGCATTAGGGAGTTATATAAGACAGAAGCAAGAGTTAGTAGGAGACATTCATTCCCCAGCCACACTGAAGACAGGCAGGCTCAGTATCAAGGAGGATAAGAAGACACTCAGTCTCAGGATTCTCCAGCCACCCATTCAACCTGAGGTAGTGGTAGAAGCTACTGACCCATTACTTTGCTTTACTGACCTTCTGCTTGAAGTTTAAACACCAATATCAGTCACTGGGTCTTTTATTAATTCATGTTACACTTCTTAGCTCTCCAACTAAAATCTGCAGACTAGCATAGGAGCTGACACACAAAATCCAACCTCACTGGCAAAAAATAACACACACTGAAATGGAAAGGCTGGAAAGGGATTTACCCAGCATGCAGAAGCTGTAAACAAGCAGCAACAGGTGGGTTTGATAGGGAATAAGAGACTTCAATTCATTATTGGGGCAGGGAGTGGGGGGATGGGGGGGGAGAAGAGCATACTCATAACAAAAGGAACAATCCATCAATAGGATACAATGGTTATAAATATATTTGTATCACACAGTGTTATACCTGGTTTCCTAAAACAAGTGCTACAGGTCTAGATAAAACAACAGTGATCTCAACACACTAACTTTCACCAATAAACATATTATCAAGACAGAAAAGCTTCAAATTCAAGTTGGACTTAACAGACATTTGTGGAATGGGCATAAGAGCTGGGAAGATACTTTCTTCTCAAAAGTTCATGGGTTTAGTCTCCAAAATAGGTCAATTTTAAGCCATAAAAGAAATCATACCAAATATTTCAAAACTGAAATACTTTCATACATCTTCTATCATAATGAACTAAAATTATAAATCAATAAAAAACCACAGAAAGAAAAAAAATACTGAAATATAAGATGAAGGGGCTTGGAGGGAAAGGGTGGGAAGTTGATATAATCAAGATACATTATATACATGCATGAGATTTCCAAAGGATAAACATGTCTAAAGGAGTAAAAAGAAAACATGCAAATACTTAAATATTGAGCAATAAGCTGTTGAATGATCACTGAGCCACTGAAGAAAAGGGTGAAATTGCTTAGAATCTAATGAAAAAACAAACAACTTTCTAGATAGTTCGGGGGGGGGGGGGGTTGCTGCAATATGTGTCTACCTTAAAGGAACCACAGAGAAATTATTTCCCAACAAGGAGAAGCCAGTACTGATGTAGTCACTGCTAAATCCTGGTGATTTTCCTTGTTCCTGTGACAACACACCTGACAGAAGCAACTCAACAAAGGCAGGGAGGGTCTAACTCACAGTTCAGGGTGGAGTCCATCCTGATGGGCACGTCATGGCAGGGCACTGTAACACAGCCTGTTACATGCACCCACAACAGAGAGACAAACGCTGGTATACCATTCTTCAGTCTGGCACTCCAGATCATAGAAAGGATCATCCCACCTCAGTTAACTGGACCTAGAAACTAGACACTCACAGAGGTTCATTTCGTAAGTGACAGCAGATCCTGACAAGCTGACAATCAGTATTAACATGACAAAATATAAATTAGTCCAGCCACTATGGGAAATGGAGGGTCCTAAAGAAACTAACAACAGAACTACCATGTGACTCAGTGGTTGCTACTTTTAAGTGTATATTCAGGAACAAGACAAGGCTGTCCACTCTCTCCATATCTCTTCACTATTGTACTACAAGTTCTAGCTAATGCTATAAGACAACACAAGGAGATCAAGGGGAAACAAATTGGAAAGGAAGTGAAACTGTCACTATTTGCAGATGATATGATAGTTTACATAAGTGACCAGAAAAAACTCTACCAGGGAACTCCTACAGCTGATAAACACCTTCAGCTAAGTGGCAGAATACAAGATTAACTCAAAAAAAAAAAAAAAAATCAGTA